CTAGAGTATTTTTTCTTTATGATAGCAAATTGAACTAATTCGTTTATTGAAAATACAATCAGTTTTCAAACATAACTGATTGATGCTGAAGATTATAATAATAATATTATAATAATATTATATTAAATATGATTTTATTAATTTTTATTTTTATTTTTATTTTTTATTTTTTGCCAAGTTTCATTTTAGTTTTATTGAATATTATATTTCATATTATTTAATTTTTAATCAGCCAATAACAATTATCATCACTATATCTATAATAATCGCAAAATCTAACTAAAATATTACTATATTAGTATTGCAAGACTTTTCCATAATCCGAAGAACTCTCAGAGGCCTCTGCAAATGATATGAAATGCTTAAAAAAAAAAATAGCAGCCAACTCCTGCAGCCGCCTGCCTTCCTAAGCCGCTGGTCAGTTTCTGGCTCAGCTGTTGCGTTGGTGTGCGAAAATACTTATGCATTCAGCTGTTTGCAAAGTCCGGCTCAAGTCTGAGTATGCAAATCCGCTAAAGATGGCAGCGAGAAGTGCTAAAGATTAATGGAAAACTTTTGCATTTTTGCGACGGAGCGAACTTTATGCTGAGGAGATGCTGATTCTGATTTCGGCTGGGCAGCAAGCTTAAAGCGAACACTCGAGTGCTTAGCACGCACGTGAGCACAGTGAGTAGGGGAGGGAAGTGGAGGGAAAAGCCTGCAGGTAAAAACAGGCCACAGCGGTTTATTTATTTATTTATTATGCGAACGACACTAAAATGTAACTAAAAACACACAGAAATACGATGTCTGCCTGCCAACACATGACGTCTACAGATGTGCTGAGTGGCATATGGACTCATGGGCCAGACGAGCAAGAGGGAAAGAGACGAGGCGAATGTCAGTAAATTCTGATTTGGAGTCCTTCGTCGAGTTGACGTTGACGCTGCTTTGATATATTATGCACGCTTGAGGGCGGCAACAAATAATCAAGTATCAAATTCCACACGGAATGCTAACGAAAACACACAAAACGATTTTTTGTGCCCAGGTCACAGGGGACCCTTAGACCGGCTCGAGCAAGGGATTTGCCAGGGCGTAGCTGCGTATCTGCGTATCTGCCTAAGCTGCCAGCCAAATGAGGCAAGACACAGGCCGCAAAAGCCTCACAAATTCGGAGGGCTGCAAAAACAAAGCCCACTCATCAGAGTTCCTTTGCCACACACAGCTCAGGTGGCGACGCTACCTGGACTGGTCTGAGTTTATGGCGCGTGCGACAAATGAACAAAACGCCGTAGAGTGCAGACAATTTGACTAGGTTAGCTTCGATGGGGGTGCCTGCTGCCTGGTGGAGGACTGAGCTGCCTTGTCTGAGCTGTGCTGGGCTTTGTCTAGTAAATCGTCACGCAGAGCGTAAGGCAGGCAAAAATGCCTAAGCCGATTAACAAAGCATAATAGTTGGCAGCCGGCAATGGGCAACTGTTTTTCCTATGTCTCACAGTCAAACCGACAATAAACTCGGAGCACGGCCCAGTGTCATGGAGTGCAGGGGACTGGCCATGGTCAAGCGGCGGCAGACTCAACAAAGTTGTTTGATATTTCTTGTTGACTTTGTGTGAGACACACACACACACACACACACACACACACACACACATACATAGAGAGCCATCCACTTGAGCAGAGCTTGTTAGTTTTGTTGGGCATTAGAAGTTTGTTATTAAGCTTGCTGTCTGTCAGTGCTAAACATTCGCAGTCGAGGCTGGTTAAACAACAAATTTATATAAAACACTTTGCACAATTTCCAAGCATTTTTTAATCTTTCATATTGGCAAGTTTGACCCATCGCAGCATGGCTGAATGTGAACTGGAAGTTGAGCCCTGTTGGATTGGGATATATTAATTCAAAATTGACATACCGTAAGAGAAGTCTGGACACAGTACTCCACAGATCTTCGAGAGAGATCTAGGAGAAAACTGAAATGCCTACAGATTCAGGAACAGGACTGTGTCATGCCTGATTACTATATATAATATGCCTTTAAGCTATAAATGTAATGGATGTAAATATGACCAATATAAAAATAAATAAAATTAGACTTAGTTATTTTATTTATCTTATTTTTTTTATTTTTATAAAAATAAATCAAATAAAATAAATAAAAATAAAAAAATAAAATAAATAACATAAGACTTAGTTATTTTATTTATTTTATTTTTTTATTTTTATATATATATTTTACTTATATATTTTTTTTCTCCATCTGGTCTGTGTTTGTCTTTCTTAAATAATTATAATTTTGAAAATATTTAAAAATGAATTGCAAGTTATAGTTAAATATTGAAAATATTTTAAAGAATTTTTTAAAATTTATTTTATTAACAAATATACTCTGAAACTCTGTACTGATTTCTAAGAAATGTATTTATATATAAAAAGCATATGCAAGAAATGCTACGTATATTTAATAGGAATAAAATGTGTTAAATACCAAATTCTCTGCTCAAAATACTAAACTCAAATAACAACTGTTTAAGTTTTATGTTCAAGGGAACTTGAATGTTTTATATAAATCTGCTACACATTGAGCTTTAATGTGAATTATTGTTTATTTATTTCAGTAGAAAATTCTTTAGATATATTTACATATTTATATACAAATATATGTATTTGTAAATGCTTTGCATTTTTTCTAAATTTATTTTCAACTTCAAAAAGTTCATTGAACGAAAAGAGCATTTGAGGTGCGTTAAATTGAGGCTCTTATAAGTGAGGCTGCTGTTTGTTGTTGTCATTTTGGCTTTTGTGTGATAGAAATGGACATTCGGCTGCTGCTGGAATTTGCGTAGAAAATCTCATAAGTCAAACATGAATTCCCATGCAAAAATGTTTTGTCATCTCGGCCCGGCTGACATTGCTGTGGCTCGGCAGCGGCTTTATTTGCCTGGTATTTGTATTATTTCATTTCTGGCCGTGATTTATTAGGGCCCACTTTCGCATCTTGGGCGCCTTTTTTCTGGCTCTGCTGTTTGGTTGCGGCTCGCTAAGCTTTATTTGTTCATTAGTGAGTCTCTTTAAGGCGCAGTGACTGAACGAAAGCTGTTTCGAAAATATCATTCATTGCATATGCCGAAGCCACGAGTGAAGCAGCTGCAAGGACATTAAATCGTTGCCGTCTTAAATGCTGCTTCAAATGCTATTTATAAGCAGGGCGCGATGAACTCTTTAGCCGTCTGGCAATCATTCAGTCAGTCAGTCAGCCAGTCAGTCGGTTCAAGTGGCCGTAGGAAATGAACTCATCTCGACTGTCAGACTAAATGAGCGCAAATAAATTCAAGTAGGCTTAAATTTTCCACTTTTTTGCCCAGCCAATTGGGCACTTTTCCCACGCCCCCTGCCCCAACCCACGGCCCACTGCATAAATTCATATAGCAAACAAAAAATAATACACGAGGCAAACAGTGTAAAAAGCGCCATGAATAACAACAAACTGGTTGAGCGACAGGCCGAACGGCGAAGCAACAAAATGTGTAGAAGAACCGCAAATCTGAAACTAAGCAAAATGAATTCTATTTAACATTTGGGTAAAATTTCAATTTTTTCTATGTATTTTTCTGTTTTTTTTTTTTTGCTCTTTCGCTTCACCCTGGGTGAAATGAAATATAGAAATCAACGGGCGTGGTTGGGCTGCCTTTTTGTGACGTACGCGCCCGCCGTCTACTTAGGAAAATGATAAATGTCCTTGCAAAGCCATGAAATGAATAAGTATGAGCACTGACTGAGCTGTGCGTGTGTGTGTGTGTGTGTGTGTGGAAGTGGCCGTTTGCTATGGCTATATGGCTATATGGCTATATGGCTATATGGCTATATGGCTATATATGGGCCAGCCAGGGCAAACAGCGCCAATGTCCTTGGCAAACAGCAAGAAATCACAACAACAACAGTCGGCGTCAACTGCGTTTCAAGTGGAGTGTGTATGTGTGTGTGTGTGTGTGTGTGACTGTGTGCTCAGGCCTCTGCCTGCCTAGCCACAAGGCTTTCACGCTATCAGCTTGGCCCCTAAGTAGGCTACTCCAAACACAACAGAGCCAAAAGCACATGCAGACAGTACGCTCAAGTGTGTGTGTATGAGTGTGTGTGTTCGTGTGTGTGTGTGTGTGCAATTCGCAAGAAAAACGTTGACAAATTCCTCGCAGCGGCGACTTTTCCTTGCCGTTGTCATTCAACGCGCTGTCAGTTGATTTTTTTTCTGCTTTCTGCTTACAGGAAACTTGCCCAAAAAAGGAAAAAAAAAAAAAAAAAAAAAAAAAGTCTACCCCAGAGGCTGCGACTTAAGCAACGCTGGAATTTTTGCCTTTCAAGTCGAATCAGTGACGAAAGTTTTTGGCCAGCAGCGAAAACTACACACAGGCGCACAGACTGACAGTGAGCTAAATAAAGCTATAGACAGATATAGATGCTGAGAGAATGATGGAGAGAGAGGGAGAAAGGGAGAGTGGAACTAGTGGGCGGCACTCGGCGGAACTGTCCATTGTTGCTCATCACTTTTGACCGGCTGAAAGAAGTTTTTTTTTTTTTTTTTTTTTTTTGCCATTCTTGGCAGCAAGTCGCTTCGATTTCATGTCGATGCTGCTGGCTTTTGCTTTGGCTTTTGCTTTTGATATCTTTCATTACTAAGCTGATTTTTGTTTTGGGGTCTTACCGGCGCTCCTTTGCGCTCGCTCATGTTTGGGCCTTTTGGCTTCTGGGCGTGTATCTGTTGTTCTGTGATAGGCGTGGCAACAGCTGCTGTTGTTGCCGCATTTATAACTCGCCCAGCTCAATTTTGTGTGCGCAAATTGTTTGGGCTGTGTCCGAGCATCAATAATATTTTGATGTCCATGGCGCACACAAAATTGTTCTTAAGTGTTTAGAAATTGTCGAAGGGTTTATTTTGTAGTCTTTATATGGTCTAAGCATGTGCGATAGGCTAAAACCCTTGTATAAAAAGGAAAAGTAAAGAAATTTAAACAAAACTTACCAGCCAACAGATTAAGTAAAGCTGTAAACAGAAAAACAAAACGAAAAGAAAGTTAAAAATAAAGTAAAGAAAAAAGCAAATAAAAAAATAAAGTTTAGTCAAAATTATGTATACATTAAAAATAGTTGCTTAAAACTAGAAAATTTACTAAGCAAAATAAAATATATATTAACATTAAAATAAACAAGGAAAATTACATATATAATACATATATATTTAATTTGAATTTTATTTTAAATTAAACTTCATAAAAATATTGAATGAATAATACAAATTAAATTTTTTAAAAAATAAGTATGTAGCAAGAATTTTTTAAACTTACATATGTATGTATATTTATATTAAATTTGACTATACAAAACTATTAATATTGATAACATTTAACAGATATTAAAAAATGTTTAAATATATTATTATGTTATTAAAATAAAATTATATTCGAAAAAAAAAAAATATATATATATATATATAGTTATGTATAGGTTACATTTCTTTTAAAACGAAACTCGATAAATAAAAATATTAAGCATAATCATAATTATTTCTTAAATTCTAATAATACAAATATAATTTATCACAATTTTTTAAATAGGTATGTAAAAAGTTTCTGCAAAAAATTAATTTACAGCAATTTCAATTAGCCATTTATTCATTTAGATATTTCTGATTTATAAGAATTATTATAGCCAACTTAAATTTTGTATTTTTTTAAATTATTATTTTATTTTTTTATTTTTTATTTTACATGCCTCGTTTTTATGTCTTAAAATACTTTTTTTTAATCCGAATAAATTCTATAAAAGGACACAAACAGACTTTTCTATCCAAGTTCTGCTAAGTATAATTGAAAATTCTCTTTGCCTGCGAATTCTAAATAGTTTCGTTCTCTGTGATCGAATGTGCTCAAAGTAGCCATGAATTGCATACATATTTGTTTGCATGCATGCGCAGGCTCATCTTGCATGTTTTATATGCTTGTAAAATGTTGAAAATTTACCATTAAGTCCTTGGAAACTTTGGCTCAGCCGAGCCGCTTAGTAAGCAACTTGGCGCTTTGGCAAAGTGCAGCTTATAGTGCAATCGTACGATATCTATATCCAATCTGCAGATGTGCAGAGGGGCAAGCAGCGGGCCAAGTTTACTGTGGCAGTCGAAACTTAACTCATCAGAAATGCCTCTAAATAAGCATTTAGAAAGCTGCGCTGCGGCAACAAATGGCAAACTTTGTCCAAACGCAGACAACAACAGCAACAAGAACAAGAATAACAACAAATTGAGCGAGCGCCGGGCAGAAAACCCAAACATAATTTCGAAGTTGTTGCGCAAAATTCTGAGTACGTTGTTTTCATAGAAATGCGATAAATACTGCTCGAGCTGGCAAAGGAACTGGTTTTGGTTGGATGAGCGGATGGTGGAGAGGGAGAGGGAGGGGGATGAGACGTGGTGGTTTCTTCAGCTTGCAGTTAACTTGGAAAACATTGAAATGCCGAAGTGAAAAGTTTTTGTAGAATTCAATTGAAAACACATAAAGTCCAAATTTATTAAAACCCTCCCACGCCCTGGCATGCATATGAGCTGCAGACCCCGAAGTGCTTTTGACTGTTCCCAACTCTAACACTAAAACTAAAACTAAAACATTGCCCAAAAACTGATGAAACAATATGCAGCTTAGCTGTAGGCGTTGCTCCTTCAATCGTCGGACGATTGCAGACTGTGGCTGTCCTTTGACTCGAGTCAAGTGGTTGTGGCTGGAGTGTGGTGCACCGAGGCTGGCCTGGCCCGGCCCGTCCTCTTAATGAGTTGCCAACTGGCCCGGCCCACATGGCGTATGACTAATACACAAGCACGCGTGTTGCTCATACGTCATGTGGCACACGCACACACTCGCACACTCACACACTCACACACTGTTAGTCCAAATGAACTAACCAAATGCCTGTACATTAGTGGCAAATGTTGAAATTTTGCATCTTTAACGAACACAATAAATTTTGCTACCTGATTACCCACAACTGAATGCGCAATTAGCGGGGCATTTTGGTGGCTCCACCACTTTTTGTAGCCGTCCGCAAACTTGGTGAACTTTGTTTATATGGCTCGGCGTATTGTTCAAGTTGCTTGCCAAGTTCTCGATGGCCAAAAAGAAAAAGTGAAAGAAAAGTGAAGACCAGCACAAACTCTGCAAAGTTTACTTGCAACACACAAAATATGGTGCGTCCTTCAGCTGGCCGCTCGCCCCTGGGCCCTTCTATGGCTTATTTATTAGCAACATATTATTATTTGGCTGGGAAGTGGGCGAAAGTGATGGCCAGCGAAAGTTTCTCTTCTATTTTGGTGGCTGACCAGCTGGCGAGCTGCCCCAGCCAAGAAATAACTCAGGCAAACAGAATAACAAGCCGTAAAAGCTATCGAACTGCCTTGCCAGCAGCTGCTGCTGCTGTTGACCATTAACAGCCGAGAGTAAAGTAAGTTGGCTTTTCGTATCGTTTCGTTTCGTTTTGTTTTGTTTATTTTGCCAGCATCTTTCTTGCGCTCTAATGGCGGGGCCCAGTATTACACGATTACAAAGAGTTTTGCACATTTGACAGCTTTGCGGGGTTGAGGGAGGAACAGCTTAGCTCTGGATTTGCCGAAGCCATCAAAATCAATTTCACATAATTTAAACTGTATTAAATTTGCACATAAACTTCGTCAAAATAAACCAGAAATTTCATTTATTCAATAACGCAGCGACAGAGGAGACGCTTTGACAGCCACAAAGGCGTACGCGTATTCACACACAATAAACTTTATGTTGATTGAATAAAAGTTCCACACACACACACACACACACACACACACACACATTGACACGCATATATAGGCTGGCTTAACGGCGGCCAAACTTTTCACTTTAAATTAAATTTCACACAGACTCTCTCACAGAGAGACAGAAGGGCGCAAAGTGAAAAAAGTGGAGCAGCATTTGCCGCCAGGCGCAATCAATTTTTTGGCACTCTGAAAAAAAAAAAATATAAAAACGAAGAACCAAAAGCCACCAAGGCAGCGGTACTAAGCGCTGGCATTGCATGACTTCTATATACCCTAAAAAAGTTTGTGGTACATTAACTTGAACTGTTTCGAAATTTGTAAAAGTAAAAAGCTAAAAAAGTTCACATAGATATTATAGACTGTAGTATAAATATAAATTTATAACGAATTTTCATAGCTTAGAGAATGATCTTTTATATTAAATTTTTATTAAAAATAATAAAAATAAATATAAAAAATTATTTTCTTACTTTTTTTTTTAAAATATATTATTTGCAAATTAATATGTGACCAACCAAAATTTTATTTTAATTTTCAATTAACAATAATGGTCATTCATATTTTTATTCTTGCCATAATTTTACCCGCAAATATTTCTTAATGAAATTTTTAAGAAAATTGTAATGTAATAATAAGTTATTTCCAATTAAAATATTAATATTTATTTCAAATATTAATATAATTGTATACATTTTCCCTTAACAAACAGCAGAATCTCAATAGAAACTTTTAAATAATATTTCAATGTTAAACTTGTCGAATTTAGACTTGAATATCTCGATAAATCAATTGCAGAGCGACTTTCTTATTTAAAAAATTATTAGAAGTATTTTATAAAAAAAAAAAAAAAAAAAAAACATATTAAGACACTTGTGTAAAATAATACATATATTAGTATTAACTTAAATTAAAACTTCAAGATTCTTTATTTTAGTATATCCCAGAAATATTATATTTATATAACAGAAAAAAATATCATATTAGCATAGGTAAAGGTAAAGGGTATTTCAATTTGATTTTTCAACCTACACTAGACTGCTTTAAAAAAGAGTTGCAAATTAGTCAACTTACCGTTCTCTTCCTCAATATTTCGTGTCATTGTCGTGGAGGAGCTGACGCGAGCACGTGTTGCTGCCGCTGCAAGTGCGTTGGACGCGGGCAGGACGAGGCAGAGCAGCAGGGACAACAGGCAGCTGACAGCCAAGCACATGGTTGCCGCGCTCTTTGATTGTGCCAGTGATTGTGAGCGTGTATATGTGTGTGATGTTGTGTGTGTATGTTTGTCTGCCTGTGTTTGTCTGCTCTGGAGAATGGCTATAGAGCAGCTTGTTTGCGAAGTGGAGCTGCTGCTGTTGCTGGCGATGTGGCGGGCAGCTTTCGTTGCCTACTTTCGGGCTCTACAGACTTGCACACACGCACACCACAATCATTTGTTGTTGTTGTTGTTGTTGTTATTGGCCTGGCTTATTTGCGCATATATTGATTTGATTTAATTTGACATTTTTATTTGCGTCCATTTACAAATTTTCCGTCGAGGCTGCAAGAGAGTGAAAGAGAGAGGGGGAGAGCGAGAGAGAGGCCGCACGGCCGAGGGTCAGCAAATTGTTGACATGTCAATAAATAAAATATAGTATTGCTATTTTTTGGAAAATTGTCGTTGCAATTTTGGCAATATATATAGTTGTTGCTGTTGTAGTTGTTGTTGCTGAAATTTATTTATTTAATTGCCTTTATTGTTGGTTTGGCAAAATTTGTTAGCAGATTTACTGCACATTCCGACAGACACGCACACACACACACACACACACATATATATATACACATAGGCCAATCCATGTGAATTTTACAAATTTTATTGAGTTAATTTGTTTGTTTTTATATTTAAATCATTTATAAATTGTATGCGTTATTTATGTGGTAAAAATTGTTAATTTATGTTTTCAGTTGTTGTTTGGCGCACAAATTCACAAATTATGCACAATTTTGTTAAAATGGTTATTTATCTGCGTTTTATTCGCTTGAAACATGGCAGAAAGTCACTCGAAATTAGAGAGCGTTATTTATTGATGCATAAGTGAAATTGTAATTGATTCGATGCCAGCGAAATAAATGCAAAATATGTTAAAAATGTTAAATAGTTCGGTCGATGTTGAGTTTTATGTTATTATTTATTGAACAGTTGTTGCCTTGTATTTTATTCATTTTTAATTAAATAAATAGCTGTCTATTATGCACTGTGGGCTAGCCTAGTGGCATGAGAATATTAAATATTTTATAGAAATTATTTGAAATACTTTAAAAAACGGAATTTTTAAGCATATCTCCACAGCTTGGGCCTCGCAGCATATGAGGAAATTAAGCATCTTGGAGCGTAACCAGCCCCAACCGAAACTTTCTTATCTGCAACAGGATAGCACACATTTCGACTAGACAGCTACAAATCAGAACTCGAACGCCTCGTCAGGCGGCAACACACACACACACACACACACCGTACCTCAATATTTTACAGCATATTGCACTCACACTGAAGCGCTTTTAATTAAAGTATATTTATAACTCGGCTCCCGGTCGTGGGTGCGCTGCAGAGGCGTCGGAATTGTGGGAAATCATTTAAAATGCCGCTTGCGTACATATTTGTTATAATTTATGATGCCCATATAAATGACTAACAACACACGAGCAACACGAGAACAAGCAACAAGGACCAACTGGCAACTGGCAACTGGCAACTGGCAACGTGCTGGGGCGCCAAAGGACGAATCAAGGCAAGTCGAGTTGGGCCAAAAGAATGGCAAAACATGTGCCCAAGGAGCGCGCGTGTAGATCTTTAAAAGGACCCCAAGCAAGCGCACAGAACGTGCCAGCATCAAAGTTCAATATGACGAAGACGCAGACAAGGCTCTGGCTCTGGCTGAGGCTGAGGAGAGCGACTGCAAAAGTAATGCCAAAGACCTAACGAGTGCAAATTTCTCTTTAGACTTTGTTTTCTTTTTTTTTCACTTTTTTTTTCTTGTGCGCTCGCAATGCTTTTACTTTTACGTAGCAAAAACTCAATAAACGATAAACAGGAAAACGGAAATCGGAAACTGTATACGTTCATGTTCTAGTCTACACACACACACACACTTACAGAGAGCAAACGTGTGAGAGAGAGCGAGATAGATAGAGAATGAGGCACACAGACAGCGCCGCCATTTTGCGCGACATTCGAGGCAGTTCGACGTGCTTTTATGATATATTGACTTGCTGTGTTTTATCGGCCACGTCGCCATAGCTGGCGATGCTTTTAGCCTCCTCTCACTAATTTTATTTCAGCCTCTGTTGACAAACTCGCCCCGCTTCAGCTTCTATTTGTATATTTCGCCTTTTTTTTTTCCTTTTGCGCTCGCTTTCGGTCTCAGCGGCACAGATCATAAATAAAAATTTATTAAACTATGCGACTGTGCGAATGTGACTCGGGCCGTGGCAACCGCAACTGTCACTGTACAGCGCGAGAGTGGAGCGCATCGAAAAATGTTCGCGTTAAATAAATGTTTCATCTTCTGCTTCTTCCACTCTCTCTCTCACTTTTTTTTTTTTTTTTTTGCAACTGGCGCATAATAAATCTGTATAAGTTTATTTATCATACGCCCCGCTGCCTGATTGCCTCGCTCCCATTCTGGTTGCGGCCTCGCTAAATGGATTTCCATTTCAATGGCTTAAAAAAAAATATATATGTATATATATATATATATATATATATATATATATATACATATATATATTTATCAGCGACACAAAAAAAAGGGTAGAAAAAATAGATAGCAGCAAGTATGAGTAGTTAAGCGATTAATGTAAATATTTTTGGAAATCTATCATAAAAATATATACGGAGAAATTTTCATTTCCATCGATGCGAAACGTTGGCATAAAGTGCCAAAATGGACAACATTTATAAATCTATTATCTCTCTTTTCTATTTTTCTGCACTGTGTGCAGCGGTAAAATTTTTAGGAAAAACCTTTCGCATAAATAAAGGAAAAAATCTCTGAACACTGTTGGATGACATATTTTATTCAATTTGGAAAAACATAAAACTCTGGACAACATGTGCACTGACAGCTGCAAATACGAAATCACATGAATAAAACAAACCGTATTTGAGAGTGATAATCGATTTACAAAACAGAAATAAAAGTCGAGAATAGTAAAAACTACTCATATTCAATTAGAGAACTAGATTTGAAGGGACAACCAATTCAAAAAATATTGGCATGCAGTTAGTCCAAATAAAGGCTGGACATAGAAACATATGACAGCAAAAATTGTCAAAAAAAATCTTTGCTTAAACTATGAATTCTTGCAACCGATGAAAGCATTTATTATTATAAGAGAAAATTCCATAATGTTAGAGAAAATTCCAGTATATGATAGTGAAGACAATTACAATCATACATTAGATGAGTGCGTATTAATTTATTGTTATAAATAATGAAATATAATAAATTTTAAATTCCTGTTCTCCGTACTCAAAAATAGTTAATACTCAAATTTGATTGGGCAACAGAATAATGAACCAGCAACCTTGAAGAAAAAAATAGTTAATAACTAAATAAAAATAAATATAAATAAAAAAATAAAATAAAAAATAAATAAATAAAAATAAATAAAGTTGCATATCAAGGACCAGCAACCATGTAGTAGAAAATAATAAATAAATAAATAAAAATATGTATAAATAAAAATACATTTCTAAATAAAATTGCATTGTAATACAATAAAATTTCCAGAATATTATTCTGCTTGTAATATTATAATATTTTAACTTTACAAAAATAATAATAATTCATTTACCAAATCAGTAATATTTAAAAATATCCACTAAACATATATATATATATATATATATATATATATATATATGTATCAAAATTGTTTTTATATTAATTAATTCCTTTCAGTTCAACAAGCAGATAGACACACTTGTTTTTTCATAAGTGCCAAGACCAAGTGCCACACTCGCAATTGAAATTTGAGAGGAGAGCAAAAAAATATATATATAGCTTGCTGCATTAGCTAATATGCAATCGAACTGTTGCCCTCATAACGTGGCGTATACGTAACCTGACTGCGTAAAGTACGTTGTGCCAGTTTACTCGATCGACATGCACTTCAATTTACAAACATGCCAAGTTTCGCTCGTGTACGTGTGTGTGTATGTGTGTGTGTGTGTTTTCCGGCTGCAGCAACTGAAAAGTGTGTCGACGTTTTTTCCATTTCCGCTCATGTTGTTCTTGTTGCAATGTAATGTAATGAAGTGTGTTTGCATTAAAATGCAATTTGAAGTGCAAAGTTACAATATTATTATGGCATAGCTCTGTGTCACGTGTGTCTGTGTGTGTGTATGTGTGTGTATGAACGAGTTGTGCTTGTGTAAAGGTGCACTAAAGAGCTCTTTAGCTTAGCTGCGAGCTGTGCTCCAACTTCCACCTGCCATCAGAGTCGGCGCCATTTTTTGCGGTTTATGTGCGCTAAGTGAGCCTATAAAAATCCATGCATGGCTGCCTTTGACGCCCCTCTGGCTATGTTTGCTATGTGTGCTCAAGTACATTTTTATGAATACTAAAATTCCCAAAGAACAGCAGCAGGAGAGGAGGGAGCAGGAGTTGTGGGAGTGGCTGTGGCAGCAATCAGAGCGTTGAACACTTGGCATACTCATCGTAGTCATCGTCGTCGTCGTCGTCGTGTGCAGCTGTCGTTGCAGCTAATTTTGTCGTATATTCTGACTGAGCAGGAGAAGGCGCAGGACACGATGCAGCTGACTCGCTTGCCACGTGACCTTGTCACAATTCAAACTGAAAACATTTGCTGGACACTCGATATGCTTAAGTTAGGCAGACGAATCCAAATGGCAATTGAATGCAATTGTTGTTCATTTACTTGCATTGGCTACGGCTTGGGTTACGGGCTCGGTTTCGGTTTCGGGTTCGGTTTCGGTTTCGGCTCAGTTTTGGGTTTCGGTTTCCATTGGCCGCAATATAAATTGCATGATAAAATACATTTCAATACGCAATTTATGCACTTTGTTTGGCTCATTCTCAAATGCCAGCCAGCCATTAAATATGTAATGTGCATACGGATGGCACTGCTGCAGTGCTGCACGGCAGTCTCTTGTGGCCATCGGTTGCATTCAATTGCTTGTCGTATTAAAATTAATTGTGTCGAAAATGGTTTTAGTTGTGCTTTAATAATTAATTAATGCTTCTGCCTGAGACTAATTGGCAACTGCAAGTGGAAATGCATTAAGCGCACGAATGATTTTCACAACATAATTGCCACAAAGTGATTTTTGTCCAAAGGCATTAAATGAAACACACACACACACACATATTTAAAGACTACAAAAAGACTGATTTTAAATTAAAAAGGCATCAGACAGGAGATATACTGTAAAGGCAAGTGTAAAATTATGTTAAAAAAAAAAAAAAAACTGTGTTTTTTTAATTGAATTTAAATGTTATAAAATTCCCATCAATTATTAATGGCAAGAAAGTAATTTACAGTAATAAATATAAAAATACAAAAATTAAAAATAATAAAATAATAAATGAAAGCAAACAAAAAATAAATAAATAAATAAATAAAATTACAATAAATATGAGAAGAAAATAACACAAATTTATTTTTATAAATAAATGAAATCATATAAATCAGGTATTTTTATTCAAACTTAATATGAAAAATTTTACTTTATTATATATTCTCTTGTTTCAAATTTAAATTCATATATTAATGAAGAGTATGAATTATTATTTGTGTATTTTATTACTGAAATTTATATAAGTTTTTAATTCCCTACTTACATTGAAAAATTCATATTTATATAAAGGAATTTATTTTTAATGTATTATAAATAAGCTTTATTTTTACTTATTTGGCACTTTATCCATGTTTTTTATTATTGCTTTTAATTTGAATACATATGTTTTTTTTTTTTTTTTTTACTTTATTGTCTCTAGTTTCCTTCATGATTATTATTTATCTATAGTTCAATGAATTTATTTTGTTTTTTATTACTACTACATAATTTATTTTATTTATTTATTTTACTTTTTTTATTACTATTATTTATAATTTGTTTAAAAAAATGTTTGTTTTACTGTTATTGATATTTTTTTAAATCATTTTTTTTTTATTATTATTTATATGTAATTTCTTCCTCATATGTTCTCATATATCGCATATTTTCATATATTTAATATATTTATAGTTTCTTTTATTTATTCCTGTATTTATTTATTTATTTTTTTTAATAATACAAACATTTATGGGTTAATGTTAGTAAATAGTAAACAATTATTTATAAACAAATTATAAAATATAACATTTTATATTTTCAAAAACCTGTTTTGTAAAATTTATATTTTGAATTCAAATTCAAATTTACGTATAGTATATTTTAAGAAGATAGAAAAAACTTATCATTTATCACACATAAAGGTATTTACTTTTGCTAAAGTTATTTATATTTCTGCATTTTTAAACATATTTATATTTATATTAATCAAATCAAATTAGTTTCTTTAGCTGTCTCAATTTGTTTATGTACAACGCCTTGATTTGTTTAAACGGTTAAGCTTTGACAATTTCTCGTTATCTGGATAATCTATATTAACCACTTCCTCCTTTGCAGCAATATCTTAATCAGTTTATCTCCCATCTGTCCGCGACTGCTGCCATTTGCCATTTGGCATTCGCCTATTTGCCTATTGCCTTTTGCCTTTTGTCGCTAGTCAAGTGCCTATGGCATCGCTCAGTGTAATGAAATTACACGCACACTTCAGCAATTTAACAATTGAATAAATGTGCATCACTCAACACTTTTAGTGGCTGGCATTCTTCTATTTGATTATGGTTCATATTTGTTGTTATGCGACATTCAATGCCAGCAATTTAGCACTTGAGCTCTGAGGTGTTTGCATGTGTGTGTGTGTGTGATAGAGCTCACAAGAATGCATGTTGCATAAGAAATACCCTACAAATACTGCACGCTTTCAATGGAATTCACAACAATGGCAAATTTTGTGCAATTTGTATGGGGCGCAGCAACAAAGGTTGCGAAAACTATTTCAGCTAAGCCCAACAAAATAAAATCGTCGTAAAAGACCAGTACACGAAATCGTTTTATGTGCCGGCTCACCCATACACACACACACACATACACGAATGCACACACACACACACCTAAGTACATACATACGCCAAGTAATCCAAGCGACGCCGATGCCGAGATTCGCTTTTTTCTCTGTGATTTTCTTCTCGCTGGCGTTCGCTGTGTTTTCCATGAAAATCATTTTCATTGAGAACGAGGCGATAACGACAACGACAATGACAGCGACGACGTCAGAGCGTGGGAGGGCGGCGCTCAGATCGTATTGGATCGGCATGTGGAAGTGCCCCCAACTAGAGACGCCGCACGACAGTCGACAAACGTTGATTTGTAAATTTAGCAACAACAACAACAACAACAACAACAACAACAACAGCAACATCAGTGACAATGAAAACAAATTGGTTGTCGCTTACAACAAATCGAGTGCTTACATTTTGCCAGCTAGGAACGTGCAGAGTTAGCGCGGCACACGCGACAATAAACGCACCAAAAAAACGCTCATGAAACGCGACACGTTTTAAGTTTGGAGATTCGGGTTTTCGTCTCTTTTTGTTTGTTTTCTATTTTGTATAATTTACGCGTAGTATACGCAATTTCAATAGACACACTCTGAAGCGTTTCACATTTCAATGAATTGATGTAACACTCGCAACAATTAAACGATTCTCTCCAATATTATTTTGATTGTGACCAGCTTTTGCATGCAACGGAACGCAGAACGCCGAACGCTAAATGCCAAAACGCCTAACGCGAAACGCGAAGCGGAAACGGGTAACGGCTGAATAATCGAAAATCCCGTTAGTTTCGACCGTACCCGCGGGATCGCAAACTCTCACTGAAACGATTTTTATGGTACACACAGAGCAGAGCGACCGAAAAAAATGTGCCCACAGCCGAGACGACAGCAGCATCCCGAGCAGCTAACACGAATGCCGCAATGGCGCCGCCAATGAACGATGCGAGCGAGAGAGCGCGCACTTGCCAGCCGACGAGCCGAGCCGAGCGCAGCAGCCCAACTCTGGCCGCTGCTTGCCGGATGCTCTTAACAGGCTGTTAGCCTGCTGTTAACTGGCGCTCTGTTGACTGTCGGCAGTCGGAAGCCAAGTAATTTATAGCAAGCTTTACAGCGCTTATTGCAGCAAGTGAATATCGAAAGTAAGTTTGGATATTAAATAATATCATTTTATGGCTTATCTATGGAAAAATATATATAATAATGTATATAAATGCATAAGAAAAACTAATAATTTATAGTTTATGGCAGACACTCTGCTTGTTTACGTTACACGCTAGCAAGCGGCATTAAGTCCTCTCTCTCGCTCTCATCTCGCTATGCCATCAAATTTGCTCTCACGCAGCGCTTACTCTCTGCATGCATACACTCTCTCTCTGTCGCTCTCTTACGCAGCTTGTGCTAAAAATCAGCTGTGAGCTGTACTAAAAATATGTGTTATATTTTTACTACAAAAAATATTTTTTGATTTTATTTTGGTTGTGGAAATAAGTTAAATCTATAAAATAATTATATGTATTGTAAATTGTGTAAATTAATATATTTCTAAAAGGCATTTAAACTAAAATTATTAGAAAATATTTGCCTACATTTATTTATAATTATTTTATTTTTATTTTATTTTTTTCTACTTTAGTTTGATAGCTGCTACTATGTAAGGGTTATGCGCTTGACGATTTTTATATTTATTGTTTTTATTGCTGATATCAGCCAATAGCGCATATCAATCAAATGCACACCTGTTGCCCTAGTGGCGTTGCCTGTCTGTCAATCAATGCAGGTGCGCTTGAAGCGTGAGTGCACATACAACAACAACGGACGATGAGGATAAAGAGAAAGTACGAAATTTAAATAAAGGAAAGTAGTAAATAAATGAATATACAAAAGAAAGAGTACAATAAATATACAAATATATATTACATGAATAAATACATTTATTACAGCACAATTAACAAATTGTTGAGCAAGCATTTGCACTGTTATCTAACAGATTAGCAGTCTGTACTGTCTCTCTCTTTCTCTCTCTGCCTGTCTCTCTGCAGTTAACAGCGCTGCGCTCTTCGGCAAGAGCACAGCAGCTTTGTTTATGCAAAACTGTGTCAAATTCGGAGGAAAAACAATGTAAAGCTTTTTTATGGCTAGCCATAGAGAGGTGTAAAGAAATGTTAACAGCCAGCCGTTAAGTAGGCCACATAAGTCAGCTGTAAGCCAAATACCATCGGGGACTGGCAGCTAGCAGCTAAGCAGCCGTAATTAGCCACATTATAAAATTGAATGAGTGCGTATATATGTATGTGTGTGCATGTGTGTGTGTTTTCGCATCCATTATATTCTCTGAACTTTAAGGCCATGTGAGCAGCGGCATCGCACATCTTAAAGCTTGGCTCAGCGACAAATGTTGGTCAGCTGTTTTTTATCAGCTCATAAACATGGCGAACAAGTTCATTTTGGTGTTAAAAGCGTGTTTTTGCCTGACCGCCATGTGTTCTGGGTGCGCTTTTCTGCTGGTGTGTGTGTGTGTGTGTATACGTATATACTTTACAGCTGCAACACACGCACACAGCTGCTGTCATTTTTAATAGCAAACACAACACACTGCGACTTTTGCGCATGAAATAACACCAGCTAAATGTACGATGTAGGACTAAGTAGTCTCCATCCAGATCCAAACGAACAGCGCACCATGGGAGCAAGACTGGTAGCTGGACACACTACTTAGATAAATTAGTTTTATTAAAGAATTAAAAATATACTAATAGACAAATTCAATATATTGATATATGTATATAATTTTGTTTATGCTTTTACATTTAATACTATAAACACATAAAATTTATATAATTTAATACTATAAACACATAAATTTGTTTATATTGTATTTCTTATGAAAAAGTATACAATAAACTAACTATGAGATATTTATATTATATTAATTTAAATAAATATATAACAATAAAAAAATATATAATTTTTTTTTTTTAGATTGACAAAATTAAATATTTATTGTATGAAAAAATATTATTTATATTTGATTATTGTATATATATATATTAAATTTATAAAATATATTATATTAAAACAAATATATATTTTTTGTTTAATATTTAAATCATGGTATTTATTGTATGAATAAAAAATAATAATATATAAAATTAAGATAATAAAAACTAAATAAAAAATAAAATATATTTAAAATAAATGCCAAATAAAAATATATATTTCATAACAATTTTAATAATTTTTTTAAATTATTAAAATTGTTATTTTCTCTCTAATGAATACAGTTATTTATAAACTATCCTATATTCAACTAAGCCATAAATTCTACTGAGCTAGAGCTTTGTTCGTTGCCTAGTTTTATTATTATATAAAATTAATTAACTGCGCTCTCATTAAAATCTCTTTTTAAACTGCTTGTTCAACTTGTGAAGATATTCTTGATTAACTCTATTTGCTCTGAGATATACACTCTACGAGCATATATAAACACTATGGGCTAATCGCTGTTTATTTATTTAAAAGTTAAGCAATATGTTAAATTTGCAATGAGCATATATCTACCTCTTGCAACCTGCCCCACTGTTCGTCCATGCTGCCTTGTTGTAGTAATGAAAGTGTTTTTGTGTAGCATGATAGCCGCATACGCAACATGCGTGGTCTGCTCACAGGCTGCCGCCTCTCTGCAACAGATTCTGCCTGGCCCCAACTGCTGGAGCTGCTCTCTGTATCAGAGTGCGTGTGTGTGTGTGTGTGTGTGTGTTGGCTAGCTGGTAAAATATGACAAAAAGCATGCTACAGTTCTTTTTGCTCCGCGCATTGTTGTTATTGCTGTTAGCTGCTGCTGCGGCTGTTGTTGCTGCTTTTTGTCAGCGATTCTAATAGCCAAAGTCAAAGGGTATATGAAGCTGGGGGTGTGGACGAGCACAAGCTAGCACTGCTCGAAAGGAGTCGTCCTTATTGTATTCAGTGCGCGTGTGTGTGTCTCGTCGCGCTGTATGTGTATGCAATAGCAATAAAAATATATTTTACAAACTGCTGCCAACAGTTCGCGACCCTTGCAAAGCATGAAAACTGCTTAGGTTTTGCCACCCGGACCCAACTGCCAGCATATTGTAGTAGTTATTGTTGTTGCTGTGGCTTGTTTGCTTTTTATGAAATATGTAGGGCAGCTAACAAGCATACACGCACACACACTCACACACGCGCATACATGCAAAACAAGTTCGCAACATCAAATTATTGGAAAACCGAGAAGTTTTCTGGAGTTTTTTTTTTTTCATTCTTTTACTTTTTGTTCCTTTTGCATTGCGCATGAAAAAATATTTAAAAATCTCAACAACAAAAAAGACGACGAAGAAAAACTGTAGAAAAGTTAGCAGAAGCCAACAACAATGTATATTTTGTATGAAAGGATTTTAGGATATGTACATGTGCGTGTGTGTGTGTGTGTATGAGATGGTGTTTGTATAAGCTAGAATGGGATGAATATGGATTGTGTTATTGTTGTTGTTCCGGCTGCTGTTGTTATTGTTGTTGTTGTTGTTGGCACTAAATCGCGTTTTGCTTAACGCGCTCGAATCGCCTTGGTTACTCGCTTTCCCTTTGTTTGTGTCAACCATAACGATTTTCTTTTCAATTTAGTTTTACTGCGAATTTTTCTATAATTTTATTGCGTGTATTAAAATTTGCTCCAACTGGGTGGCCTGCAATTGGCAGCTGGCAACTGTGGCCCAGACTGGGACTGGGACTGGGCCATGTCGATCTATGAAGTGCCCTAAACACACCATTTCAGAGCACTCACACACACAGTCACACACATAGATGATAATATGTATTCCTTTTCTTTTTTTATGATATTTATAGCTCTGAAATTTTGCTTAGCTGGCAGGCGATTTATATAGCCCACTCCCACGCCCATTTCAGATTTTTAGCCATACATATTTATGACTGGGCAACTCTTTGAGGCATTTTTCATAACATTGTTTTAGTTTTCATTTTATTTCATATACATTTTTTGTGTTATTCTTTTGCTGTTGTTGTTGTTGCATTTTTATGTGTTGTTTGTGTTGTTTGTGGCTGTTTAGTACCCCATAGATACACAGTTATTGAATGGCCTGTCATATTGTGGCAACTTTTTATATGCCCCAACACGTTTCGATGCTTTTTATTGGCGGTTTATTTTGAATAACTAATACACTGCATATCATTCGCATTCGCATTCGCCTGTCTATGACTAGAATATGTAAAACACATTTTTCACGATTTGTGCAACTACATTTCCTTTCTATACAATTTCGGAAAAAAAGGATTTTTTAAATGAAAGTTGTAAATTAAATAATATATATTTTGCAATGAATTTTAATATTGTATTTTTTATTTGATAAAAGATTATTTTATTGTAAACAAGAAATTAATTAAACTTGCTTAAGCTATTTTCATAGTAAATATAATTTCAATTATTTTAATTTTTAATTTAATTTTAATTTTTAGTTAATTTTTATTTATTTAATTTTTAATTATTATTGTAAATTGTTTTATTTGATTCAAGATTATCTTACTATAAAAAAATAATTAATTAAACTTCCTTAAGCTATTTTCATAGTAAGTAGAATTAAAATATTTTAATTTTTAATTTAATTTTAATACAATTTTATTTTTAAATAATTTTTATTTATTTAATTTATGATTATTATTGTGCATTCATTTTATTTTATTTAAAAATTTTTAATTATATTAAGTTATAAATTTATATATAAAATGTATTTCATAATAGGCAATTTAATTGTAAGATTAGTATATGTATATGTATATAACATTTGAGAACTTAAGTCTAAGGTCTACAG